GACCGATGCTGCTGTGATCTTTATACTCCAGTAAGGAAAGGTGATTCTTTCTGACTCCAGGGATCCTTTCCCAGCTGAACTATTTTTGTTTTTTGTTCTCATGGTCAGGGTTGTTTTAAGCGCCATCTTAGATTTAGTTTTAGTCTTCAGGACGAAAACAATTATTAGTCTTCATCATATTTTAGTCATTACAATATGGGATAGTTTTAGTCGACTAAAACTTAAAAAGGTTTTAGTCAGTTTTAAGTTGTAAGAAAAGTGAACCTTTATAATTTGGAATAAGAACCAGATTCTTTCCTAGACTGACAGCTCTATCCTAGATGCTACATTAGCTGGGTATAGAATGCTGCCATGCAGATCATCATTGCTGTTGGACAGAAAACTTTGATTTAAAGAATTCAAATGAACCTTTTTTATGAATTAATACCCTACTTTATAAAAACGTTTCTCACAAAAGTTGTGAAAATAGCAGATCTAGTTCAACAGATCCTATTGGTTAACATAGCAGAGAGACAAGCTGAAAAATGTCCAATAAAGGAAGGATTTTAGACACTTCCTGATCTACTATGATTTATGCATTAAACACAGATCAATAAAATCTGCATTACTCCGAAAAAGCAAAGAAAAAAAAACATTCTTCTTTCTACTTTGGTGACTTTGATTTTATTTCTGAGAATTTCCCCCTCGGTTCCTGCTGCTCAGGGGTCAAAGAAGATTTAAATTCACAGGGTTTGATATTAAAAAAATACTGAGAACCTCCATAACTGCCTTGTAATATCATGGCAACCCAGACCTAAACTGAATGAATATGCTACTAAAATGTTAAAATATTTCAAGGAAACAGAGAAAATGTTTAAATGACAATACAAGGAAACATTTACATCATATTTAAATAAATAGAAACGAGAACAATGAGAGAAAAATGTTCAAAGATCTATGAACCTTTTCATCTGGATCTTTATCCAAAAATAAACAAAATGCAATGAAATATTTTCTTTGGATATAATTTAGAGATTCTTTTTGGTAGAAGTTAAAGAATGTTTAGCATCACCTATGGTGAGCTGGAAGACATAAAATCTTGATAGTTAGACAAAGGGATTCTTTACACTTGGCAGCGGATGATCAGCCACATGTAGTTTATTAAGTAGCGAGAGCAGGAAGAGCCGTACTGTTGAGAGCGAACCATCAGAGTTTAGTGTAAAGCGCAGACTCTGAGCTAAGCTACGCATTTCCCCCCTCCATTGGTGGTCATGCAGAATGAGCAGCGCTGCACGGCAGGTGGACGAAGTGACCAAACAGGACGGAGCAGCACAGCTGATACTGCTCAGCAGATTCCGTGCTCTGGAGGGGCGCGTCTTCGGCTCCTCACAACCACTATTGAGCATTTTCCCTTTGGATAAACTTTACATGCAGTAGTGCACTCTCACAATCAACTACAGGTGTTTGGTTCCAGGTACTCAGAGACTCACTTCCACACAGAAAGCCCATATTCTGATCTTCAGGTAACACAGAGTACATGTCACATTAAATAATACTACTTATACTTCAGTGATAGTTTCTAGGTGTTACTTTATTGAATGTCTTATACTATATCCGTTGGTTGTGCTGTTCTTTTTCCATCTCTCTGCAGGTGATGAAGCAGACTGAAGATTTTTTTATCATTTTCTCCCTTTTATCTCCTCTTTCTTTCATCTTTTCTCCTTTTTCCTGTTTTTCCTTTCCTGTTCTACCTACATTGCAGTGTCCATATAATCTGTAAAACTCCCTGCATGAATTATAATAAAGCTATTTATATGCATAAATCAAGCGGAACACTATGGTGATAGCTGTACTGCTCCACTGGTGAAAGGAAAATCTGTTGGGCTTTTTTTAGCATCAAGACAATTATTCTTACTGCCAGACAGGACACTGTTAAAAAAAAACACAGCAACATCTGACCGACCACCCGCTAATTTTTATTTAATCTCGTCAATGAAAAGTCACACCCATCAGTCATCATATTCTCGCCATCAAAGATCCATGTTTGCCTCATCAGTTTGCGTTATTGTCATGAAAAAATGAGTGTCAACGAAATAATTCTGTCATCATTGACAAAAACAAGACTGCTCGTGGTTTAATAGAGATCCAACTATTTCTTTCTTCCCTTCCTTCATTCTCCTCCTTCCCTCTCTTAGCAGATGTTGACACGTTCAGCCTGAGATGTCTTTGCTCGTTTAAAGACCTGCAGACCTCTAACTCTTCATCATGCTCCCATCCACAGACACCTCCCAGCCGTTATGACCCAACAGATGCAGAACCTGCAGCTGTCTCAGACCAGAAAGTGTCCCGGTGGGCCAGCCTCACCCAGCGCTGCCAAGCGCCTCTACAGGAACTTATCTGAAAAGCTGCGAGGAAGCACCTCCTCCTTTGAAGATGCCTACTTCTTTGGAAAAACGGACCGTCTGCGAAAAGCCTCGGTGAGTTCAGCAGAGACCGCGTGGTTTCCGGAAAGATACACTGGGGGGGTGCAGACGAACACAGGTGAGTGACCACGATCATCTGATAGATGATTATCCGTGTGAGTCACCTACCTGGTTAAAAAGTGCAGTCCATCCTCTCCAAGGAAGACAGGATTTAGCCGCTGGACTGCGGCGCAGAGCGGCCCAGAGAACCTCCCCGATTCACCAACCTCAGTGAGCAGGCAGGAATCCAATCCAGGTCATGGATACAGATCAGACAGGAACAGTTCTGGAATCCAGGAGTCCACAAGCCGGTC